TTCGGTTCGAGATATCGCCCATGCTTTTTTTTAGAACGAAAAATCTTCATTCACTCATTGATAGACATCTCCCGAAAATAAAATCGTTAATAACTACAAAAGAATATCACGTATCCGAACCTCCTCAGTTACACCCTCAGTACATCCTCATTTTTATTATTAACAGTCTCCACAAAACCTCGTGTATCCCTTTATGAATGCGTGGAATTTATCAATGGACGGCGGCAGGCCGATGATAAATCGCGAGGTGGATCGTATCACCACAGAACCAACGACTGTATGTGCCCTGCCACTGCTGCATAATGGAACGTACGACTCGATGTGTTTCTGTTCCTCAAGACCTCTTTCCTCAACATTTTTTTTTCTTCCACCACGTACGTATGAAGATGAGAGAACCGATGATACAATATAAAAGAAAATAAAAATAAATTAAAAGGGCCTGTGCAGTAGCCCTTTGCAGATCGATATCAGCGATAAACACGGACATTAAATATCTCAAGTTGAGATTTTCTTTTTTTCAAGTTCATTGTGAGAGGGGGCAGACTCTTCATGTGGTAAATCGGGGATAATCAATTTTCCACAGTTTGAATCCAAATAATTGATTGCGGAATTTAATTATCCAGCACTGAAGGGGTCTTTAGGGTTTTTTGCTGATTTTTGTTTAGGAATATCTGGGTAATTGTGAAAATTAGTTTTCGTATTTTGGTAATTGGAAGAAAATGTCGAGAACATTTTCTTTTGGGGAGAATTTCATAATCAGGATGTCCTAATGTGATATTCTATTATGTTTATTGATAATTTTATTTTCGGACGATTTTTATTGATGAATTAATTAACAGTTTCAATGTTTTTAGGGTAGATTTGCTAAGGAATATGAGGAAATCGATCAATTAATTAATGTTTGAATCTAGTGATTTTAGTTTTTTGAAGGAACAAATTTTACGTTTCAGCTAGAGTATTTCGCAAGTATCTCCAGAACCAATGAATTCATCAGAAAAAGTCAGAAGAACATTTCTCTAGAGAATTTCATGAGCTAAAACAAATGTTTCTGACATTCTTCGACAAATTTGCTGACGAAATCGATTAATTCGATATTTGTATTCAGTTATTTTGGATTTTTGAAAGAACAAATTTTACATTTCAGTTGGATTTTTTCGGCAGTATCTCCAGGACCAATGAATTTATCAGAAAAAGTCAGAACATATTTCTAGAGAATTTCATGAGCTAAAAAAAGTGTCTTTTGACATTTTTCGATAGATCTGCTGACAAAATCGATTAATTCAATGTTTAAATCTAGTTATTTTGGTGTTTTAAAAGAACAAATTTTACATTTCAGTTGAATTTTTTCGCAAGTATCTCCAGAACCAATCAATTTATCAGAAAAAGTCAGAAGAAGATTTATCTAGAGAATTTCATAAGCTAAAAAGTATCTTTTGACATTTTTCGATAAATCTGCCTACAAGATCGATTAATTCAATGTTTAAATCTAGTTATTTTCGTGTTTTGAAGGAACAAATTTTACGTTTGCAATTATTTTGCAAGTATCTCCAGAACCAATGAATTTATCAGAAAAAGTCAGAAGAACATTTATCTAGAGAATTTCATAAGCTAAAAAAAATATCATCTGACATTTTTCGATAAATCTGCTTGTGTCCGGGATATTCTCAAAATAATCTGTACAAAAAATCAACAGTCCTTTAATTTCCCCACTCAATGAAAAAACTATTCATCAATCAATTACTCGATTCATGTCTTCCCAGGTTCAATGACTCATCTTACTCCCCCCACCCTCAACAAATCCATTATGCGAATTAAAAACCGTCGAATGTGCCCGCATGAGCCACGAAATCATGAAGCGATTGATTAAAATTGAAAAAAAAAACTCTAACTCTCCCACTTGAGTGATCCCCACTCACACGTGTTTCTGTTTTTCCTCTTGAAGCAATGTTCCCAAAATAGCTGGTGCGAAAAATATCCCAGTCGATGTTGTTGAATAAATAGAGTAAAATAAAGAGAATCGGTGGGATTTCTGCCGTCGCTGGGCAATGGGAAAGCGACAGCACGATCATTCGCTAATTTTTTTCATTTTTTGGAGGCGCCAGGCGAATTTTCCACACGAGTATAAATCTCGGGGAGACGCATTCGGTAGCCGTCGGTAATAACTTGAGGAAACTTTACGAGTTGGAGGTTAAATCGTGAACGGGCAGGGGCTGAAGTTAAGCTCGTGCTTCTTCAAACGTCCCAGTGAATTAGGTTTGAGTTGTTTGGGGGGGGATGGGGGGATTTAGAGAGGGTGAAGACGTGTTTACGTCGGTTCATAGTCTACACATGTTTTCTTATGGTTTTGGATGATTTTTCGCATTGATTTAATGAGTTTTTTTGGTTATGAGTCTCTCTAACTCATGATTAACACCGGAGTTAGGGAGACTGGGGTGGGGGGCGTTTGTTTGACGACGGGTTTGGTCGGTGAATATTTTTCCATGATTTTTTGACGATTTTTCGGGGTGATTTTATGGTCTCACATTTTTTATGATTTTTCGTGTTGATTTAGAGATTTTTGTAGGTTATGGATAACTCAAGTCTCTTTAACTCCTGATTAACACCGGAATTAGAGAGATTGGGGTGGGGGAGGTGCGTTTGGCGGTGGATTAATGTCGGGGAATGGTTTTACATGATTTTTTGACGATTTTCCGGGGCGATTTCATGATTTTTCAGGTTATGGACAAGTGGAGTCTCTCTAACTCATGCGTAACAGCGGAATTATAGAGATTGGGGTGGGGGGGGGGTTGGCGATGGGTTACTGACGGTTAATGATTTTTACATGATTTTTTGACGATTTTTCGTGGCAATTTCATGATTTTTTAGGTTATGGACAAGCGGTGTCTCATTCTTTATGATTTTTCGTGTTGATTTAGAGATTTTTCGAGGTTATCGACAACTGGAGTCTCTCTAACTCATGATTAACACCAGAATTAGAGAGATTGGGTTGGGAGAGGTACGTTCGGCGATGGATTAATGCGTGACATTGTCCGTGACAATTTTATAATTTTTTTAGGTTATGCGCAGAAGAAGTCTTTCTACCTCATTTTTTAACACTGAAATTAGCGAGATTGGGGTGGGATAGGTGCATTTAGGGATGTATTAATGTTGATGAATGGATTTCATTTTTTATGATTTTTCGGGTTGATTTGGGGATTTTTCTAGGTTATGGACAAACAGAGTCTCTCTAATTCATGATCAACACTGAAATTAGAGAAACTGAAGCGAGCGAAATCATGTAAAAAGGTTTTTACATGATTTTTTAACGTGTTCTCGTGACGATTTAATGATTTTTTTTTAAGTTATGGGCAAGCGGAGTCTCTCTGATTCATCAACACTGAAATTAGAGAGACTGAAGCGAGTGAGAATATGTCAATCGCTGTGAATGCGTTTGCATTGTTTTTTTATGCATTATAAAGCGATTTAAGTTTGATCAACATTTTTTAGGTTATTTTATTGGGGTCTCTCTAACTCATGTTCAACCCCGTAATTAAGGAGATTCAATCACGATTGAGGAGATGTGGGGAAAAATATTGACGTGTGTGCCTAGTTTCTCGATGATCTATGATGGTTTTCGTGGAAATTCAAACATGTTCTCAACTTTTTTTAAGATTATTTTCTTGCAGTTCCGTAATTCCGGTTTGATACATATTTTAGCATGATCTCAACAAGAGTTGAATCATTCTATCGCTAATATTTGAGGTTATCCACATGCCGGGTCTCTAACTGATGAATCAAGCCAAAATTAGAAAGATTTCCTCATAATTTGCCTTCTCTACATGTCTTGCGATGTTCTAGCCTCGATTCATCAACTCTATTCCCAATTTTCGATGTTATCTCCATCGAAATCTCCCTAACTTCCCTCAACCCACGAATTAGGGGAATCCCATTCATACATGATTGAAAATCGTGATGACTTACGGATGAGGTGGTGGTGCATGAAAAACTACAGCAGCCACAGCCCTGATTTTCGTTAATTTTCGAGGTTATCCACATTCCGAGTCTCTCTAACCCATGAATCGGGCCGAAATTAGGAAGATTTCCTCATAATTTTCCTTCTACATGTCGTGCGAGGTTTCAGCCTCGATTCATCAACTCTATCCCCAATTTTCGATGTTATCTCCCTCGAAATCTCCCCAACCTCCCTCAACCCACGAATTAGGGGAATCCCATTCATCCATGATTGAAAATCGCGAAATTATGACGTACGGATGAGGTAGTACTACATAAAAAACTACAGCAGCCATAGCCACTGATTTTCGAAGTTATCCAGATACCGAATGCCTCTAACTCATGAATCAAGCCGAAATTAGAAAGATTTCCTCATAATTTTCCTTCTCTACATGTCTTGCGCTGTTCTAGCCTCGATTCATCAACTCTATTCCCAATTTTCGATGTTATCTCCCTCGAAATCTCCCTAACTTCCCTCAACGCAAGAATTAGGGGAATCCCATTCATCCATGATTGAAAATCGCCAAATTATGACGTAAGGATGAGGTAGTAGGGGAGGGTGGGGCAAAACGGCCCCCCTTCAATTGTCAATAACTTGTGAATGACATTGTGAAAATTCCCAGTTTCAACTTCATTTTGAAGATAATTTTTCATTCTTCAAAACGAGCTCTAACTCATCCCAATCGGATTATTGAATCGGAAAATATTGACGATTGAAGGGGGACCGTTTTGCCCCATCCTCCCCTACTACATAAAAAACTACAGCAGCCACAGCCACTGATTTTCGAAGTTATCCAGATACCGAATGCCTCTAACTCATGAATCAAGTCGAAATTAGAAAGATTTCCTCATAATTTGCCTTCTCTACATGTCCTGCGATGTTCTAGCCTCGATTCATCAACTCTATCCCCAATTTTCGATGTTATCTCCCTCGAAATCTCCCTAACTTCCCTCAACCCACGAATTAGGGGAATCCCATTCACACATGATTTAAAATCGTGATGACTTACGGATGAGGTGGTGGTGCATGAAAAACTACAGCAGCGGCAGCAGCCGCAGCCGCATGATGCTCCCAAGCAGCGGCCACGGCTGGATGGGGAGGTGCAGGCGGTCCATGATGTGGATGAAAAGGCGGCGGGGGCGGCCCATGATGTGGATGAGGGTGAAAGGCAGCGTGAAACGCCGAGTGGGGGTGGTGTGGCGGTGGTGGCGGTAAAAGTGAAAATGCCTCCTGATGGTAGGCCACCTCCTTCTCCGGCATTATTCTCGCCCTTTTAAATAAATAAATACGACAACAAAGGTCCTTCACTGCCAGTTAATCTCAACATTATCCACACTCGATTGAGTTTCTCGTATCCAAGTTTTTTTAGGTTAGAACACTTAACTTTTTGGAACAATCATTCACCAGTACTTTTTCGCTTATCCACGAGTACTTGTCACTGCACCGCTATTTATGTTCATGGTTAAGGGGGTTTTGGCACTTGACACTTGGCGGGGGTGGGGGGAAATCACCTGTGGAACATGGAAAATGGAAAATGAAGGGTGAACAATTTTTCGGGGGTCGAAAACCGGCCGCCGGATTACGGTGTTTATCCTCTGACGAGTATGGCGGTACTGAGAGGAATGAAAAGGAGAGAGGGGTTGCACGGCGGAGGCAAGGCGTGCATTCCCCCCACGAAATTGTGGATTGAGACTGTGGGCGTGCGACGGAGACGAGGCTCATGGGGGTACTGAGGAGGGAAAAACTCGGAAATTAGAGAGAGACGGGGGAATTGAGATGTTGGGGTGGGGGGAGGCTGGAGTGGGGGGTTGGAGGGGAGATTGCGAGGAGAGGTGGAGGGAGATGGCGATGGGGAGGACAAAGAGGGAAGAGAACGCGTGTCAGCTCGACAACTCAACTAGCACCCGTTTTGAATTGTTCACTGGGCTTTCTATACGGGTTTACGGATTTATTTTCATGGGTTACGGCTCTTTGAAAATTATTTAATTCTTCGGGTCGGTGAGGATGGTATGCTTGAGACTAGAATTTTGGTATTGTTGATATTTTTTTAGGAATGGGGGAGGGGAGGGGGTTTGGTTTTTAAGGGTTTTGAAAATATGAGGAATGTAATCTGTATTTTGCAGATTTGAAGTTATCGGAAGTTTTGAAGAGTGAGGGGAGGAAATGGTGCAGTCGAGACTAGAATTTTAGTTTTATTTTTTGTTTTTTCAAGAATTGTTGGGGGAGTTGCTTTTTTCGTTCTTCAAGGCTTTTAAGAAATTGTGAAAAAATTATGTGTTGGTGTCTGTCAGGTTTAGAAAGTGTTATGACGGTTAAGGATTTGGAAAGAAAATTGGTACATTTGTCAGTGGAATTGTATTTTTTTATTGTTTTTTAGGTATTGCTAGAGGGGATGAATTTTTTATTCTTCAAGACTTTTGAATTTTTTTTTTAAATCATCTGTTTGTCGGTATTCAAAGTTATTGTGATTTTTTAAAATTTATTTAAAGAAATTGCTACATTTAGGACCCGAATGTTATTTTTGTTTTTTTTTAGGACTCGTCAGCGGGAGGAATGTGTTTATATTTCTTCAAAGCGTTTAAGAAATTATAAAACGCTATTTGTTGGGATTTGGAATTTTTGTAAGTCATTATGACTTGAGAAAAAAAATGAAAATAATTAGTAGATTTAACACTAAATTTTTTAATGTTTATTTTAGGGGCGGGTGGGGTAAAACGGACACTTGAGACTTTTTTAAAATTATCCATAACTCAGAAACAAATTGATCAATTTAGCTCAGTTTAGACTCGTCACAAAGGGAAAAAATTCTTTGTATTAAAAAAAATATATAAAATTTTATCAATATTTCAACTCCTCATTAACATTTTAAAAAAAGTCAAAAGTGTCCGTTTTACCCCAACCTCCCCTATTTTTATTTTTTTAAGGAATTGTTAGGGGGAGAGATGTTTTTTGTCCGTCTAGGCTTTTCGAAAATTGTGAAAAAAATTATTCGTTGGTATCTGTTAGGTTTAGAAAGTACTACGACGTTTAAGTATTTAGAAAGAAAATTGGTACATTTGACAGCAGAATTTTATTTTTGATTTTTTTAGGAGCTGCTAGGGTAAATGCTTGTATAATTCTTCATGGTTTTTCAGAAATCATAAAAAAATTATGTATTGAAATTTGTGATTTTTGAAAGTTATTACCACTTATAAAAAATTAGGAAAAAGATTAGAACATTTGACACTAAATTTTTTTATTTTTATTTCATTTTCATTTTTTTAAGGAATTGTTTAGGGGAAGGGACGTATTTTTTATGTTTCGAGGTTTAAAAAAAATGATGAACAAGTTATTTGTTGAGATTGGTCTTTTCTAGAAGTTATATGATGAATTTACCAAATTTATAAAACAAAAAATTAGTCAAGGTTAGTTCCAGGATGGAGATTCTTTTTTTTAAATTAATTGTATGGGGAAATAGAATTACGACAAGCACGATAAATCAAAATGCGGGAAAGAATTCTAGGTAATTCAAAATAACGACGAAGTGAAAATGATGAAAACCGGAGGGAGTGAACCACTGAATGGAGACTTCCGGCCAAGGGCCATGCGGGACAATCTCGCCCCCCCGGAAATTCTTGGGTTACTTTTTCTATTATTGACGACACACAAGGGTGTCACACATTGAAAACTCCCATTTTTTGACCTCTGTCAGCGCATCCCACACTCCGAGGCTTTCATTTCACAGTTACACGGGTGTCCACAATATCTCAACATGTGTAACACCCATGGGCACTTGTTAAACATGACCTTCCGCTGGGACAAATGTTTCCATAATAAAGTGAAACTATCGGATTACGGAGAGTTGAATATTGGTCGGGATGTCCACGATTTCAGCGATGAAACGGGTTAACGGGTTTTTCTTTTTTTTTAATAAATTAATTTTTCGCTCCGGCGCGTGGAAAGTGCACATTTACCTCCCGCTTCCGCTTCGCGGCAGGAAAATCTGACTTTGGGCCTACGCCGAGGCGAAAAATACGGTTTTAACCCCGAGAAATTAAATAAAAGACTTTTACCCAAGTGCTTACCATCCTTGCCTTCGGCTCGGGTGGTATTTCCGCACGTGGGCACGATTCCTTTATTTGACGTCCCTAGATCAGAAATATACTAATTTTATCACTTGTGTGTAAAGTGAAATTTTTCGCACACTCCGCGTACGCAAAATCTGACTTTCCGCACATGGTGATGAAAAATAGGATTCGACACTCGTGAGAAAAACGTTGTTTGACCATTGGGAGGGTAGCACTCGCCTCCGGCGAGCGTCACATAGCTCCCACGAGTCAAAAAACACTTTTTCATCACCCTGTGTGTAAAGTGCCATTTTACGCAGGCTCCATGTGCGCAAAACCCCACTTCCCACACATTGTGATGAAAAATATCGTTCGATACTCGTGGGAAAAGTGTTTTTTGTCTCGTGGGGTTATATCACTCGCCTTCGGCTCGTGCTATAAACCTCCCACGAGCCGAAAAAACTCTTTTCCGCACTCGTTACGAAATATACTATTTTGACACTGCTGCTGCGTTCACCTCGTACCGAAAAGTGCCTTTTCGTTTACGCGTAAACGAAAAGTAAACGAAATAGTATATTATGTCATCAGGCGATAAAAGTATTATCCTCGCCATCGGCTCAGATTATAAAGCTACATTCATCACATAATACTTTTATCGCCGTGTGACATTAAAACTTTTCATCACGCTGTGACGAAAAATGAATTTCCGCCACATTGTGATGAAAAATATTGTTCGTAACTCGTGAAAAAATGTTTTTTAGCTCGTGGGATTATATCACGAGCCGAATGCTGATATAAACCTCCCACTCGCCAAAAAACACTTTTTTGCACTCGTTACGAAATATACTATTTTGTTATTCCGGCCGTAAGGCAACTGACGCTACGCGTTATGACAAAAAATATTGTTCGACACACGGCCGTGGGAACTTTTCTACCTCATATAATTACAGAACTCACCTTCGGCTCGGGCTGCAAACTCATATTTGCCAGAAAAGTTTTTTTCGGCCTAATGACGAAGTATGCTATTCTCTCTAATCACAGAGAATACAGACTTCCAGTGTGAATCGTCGGAAAGAATTCGGATCTCATTAGCTGTGACCCAGAAGAATGAAAAGGATGTAGATCAATGGGAAAAAAATTATGTAAATATTGAATGTAAAGAATAAATAAAATAAATCATGATACGCACTGGAACCGTGTATTTTACACGCATATGGTGCGTAACAACTGCATACTTCATGTGAGTTGCATATATACACACTCTCAAACATGTAAAAAATGTCTACACGATTTTACACAGTTAAAACGTATTAAATTTACACACTTGGCTTTGCAGTGAGGGAACAACTTTAGTGTTTACTCTTCTCCTACTCATCAGAAAGCAAAATACAAACTTTTCTTTGCAGGCGTGTTAAAAAATAGAATGTGTATCTCGGCAGGGAAAACAGGACTTTCTGCACTTGGTGCACAATATACTATTTTCATACACTCGCACGAAAAGTTCGCATTTTGCTACCTGATAAGTGGGAGAAAGGTGAGTACTTCCCGCCCTAGAGTAGAAAGTTGTTGCCGAGGGAGTAGAGTGCTGACTTTATTCGGTTTCTCGGGATTCACAGATAATACAGACTTTCAGTGTGAATCGTCGGAAAGAATTCGGATCTCATTAGCTGTGACCCAGAAGAATGAAAAGGATGTAGATCAATGGGAAAAAAATTATGTAAATATTGAATGTAAAGAATAAATAAAATAAATCATGATACGCACTGGAACCGTGTATTTTACACGCATATGGTGCGTAACAACTGCATACTTCATGTGAGTTGCATATATACACACTCTCAAACATGTAAAAAATGTCTACACGATTTTACACAGTTAAAACGTATTAAATTTACACACTTGACTTTGCAGTGAGGGAGCAACTTCAGTGTTCGCTCTCCTCCCGCTCATCAGACAGCAAAATACTGTTGTATTTAATTAAAAAATAATTCAGGATAAATCGAAGGGGCGTATTTATTGACAGTTCTTCAGAATCAATCAGAACAAAAGTGGATCACGCATGAATTTATTCCCAAACATTAGAGAATAACAATCAACTTTCTTTTTATTTTACAAAAAAGGGGAAGAGGATAGATTAAACCATTCGATTCCGTAGCAATACAAACTTTTCTCGACAAGCATATCAGAAAATCGCATGTACCCCTCGGGTCGAAA